TTTGGCTAGATAAGTTCAGAATAGCAGGTTATTTAGAGAAGTGCTATTCTGATGAAAGTTTAAATTTATCTCCTTTTCCTTACATGACAGAGGAAAGGTTTGTATATATATATATATATATATATATATATATATATATATATATATATATATATATATATATATATATATATATATATATATATATATATATATATATATATATATATATATATATATATATGTATATATATATATATATATATATATATATATATATATATATATATATATAAATATATATATATATATATGCATGCAAGTAAATCACTGTAGGTGCGCGTGATCTAGGTATATGCTGATAACCACAAGGAAGGAAGAAAACACGAAGTTCCCAAGCGCTTTCGTGTAATTCACATCTTCAGGGGTCTCACCCTCTTCTGTATATATACACCTTGTTTTGTGCTTCTCTTTAGTCTATACTCACCCCTGAAGATGTGAATTACACGAAAGCGCTTGGGAACTTCGTGTTTTCTTCCTTCCTTGTGGTTATCAGCATATATATATATATATATATATATATATATATACAGGGTGTCCCATAAGTTTCCATACATATGGTTTTTAACATTGGATTGGTCGGCGTGGTCCTGTGGAGTGGCCTCCCAGATCCCCAGACCTTACCCCACTTGATTTTTACCTTTGGGGGCATTTGAAGGCCATGGTGTATCAGGAAAAGATACAAAACATAAATCATCTCAAGCAACGTATCACCAACGCCATTACAAGCATAACTCCAGCTGTGCTTGAACGTGTTCTTCAGCAGTGGAGGACACGCATTGAAGAGTGTTTTCAACAGAATGGTAGTCATGTAGAGCATATTATATAAATAAAAATGGATTTTCATATAAAAAGGTTTATTTTTCCTATGTATGGAAATTTATGGGACACCCTATATATATATATATATATATATATATATATATATATATATATATATATATATATATATATATATATATATATATATATATATATATATATATATATATATATATATATATATATATATATAATCGCTCCTGATTCTTTTGTTGATGGAAGACGTTAGAACACCGAATAAAGGTTTGTATGTAAATATATCGGCTTCTTTAAGGTGCCGTTTCTAGGATTAAAATGTCCACGATTTTTTTTAGCTTGTGTACAGGAGACGACAATGTACAAAAAAATCAGTTGGGTTTATTAGATATACAAATATATCTTCCCAAAACCTGGTGAATATTTTTTTGTTTAGATTTTTTGAGGAGAAATATACATGAAGTGATCTTTTTTCTCACTATTGACTACTCCTGTGCACTCAAAGGCTCAAAGACACTCACGCCGCCTTTGAACCTCTGAAATGACCCCTTAAATCTTTTTTGATGGTGGGGGGGAGGGACGCCAGAGGAAAGGTTTGTATGTGTATTTTTATTTTATTGATGGGGGAATAAAGTATAATTATTGTGTCACAGGGTTCAGTACATTGAGTCGGTGTCACTACGGGTGGATGCGGCTCGGGGTGGTGTGTGACTGCGGCTACTGCTGTTACTACTGCTGCTGTTGCTGCTGCTTCTGTTGTGGGGGTATGTCTCCATCCCCCCCCTCCCTTCCTTTCCTTTCCCTTCATTCCTTTACTCTCTCTTATGCATCTCCCAAAGGAGTCCTTCCTCTCCCTACACCTAGCATATCTCTCTCTCGCTCTCTCTCTCTCTCTCTCTCTCTCTCTCTCTCTCTCTCTCTCTCTCTCTCTCTCTCTCTCTCTCTCTCTCTCTCTCTCTCTCTCTCTCTCATATGCCTTGCTAACATCCTCTGTCCACCATCCCACGCCTCACAGCATCCTCCATCCCACGCCTATCAGAACCACCCCTTTCCCTCCCTCTCCTCCCCCCCGTGCCAGCAGCGCCGTACTACCCTCACGTACTGCACGAAAAAATACATCAACAGGGGTTCGTGCTTGGCTGTAGGCATATTTGTTAAACGGTAGTGAAGAAGTATATGTTGTCGTAGTGTTATGTATAGTGCTGCTCATGACTACAGTACAAGCTTTTATTGGCAATCTGTAAAATGTACCTAAATATTTGTCTTTGGTGGAGGACTTGCATACCCACGTAATAGTAAGTTGTTTTATTATTATTATTATTATTATTATTATTATTATTATTATTATTATTATTATTATTATTATTATTATTATTATTATTACTGTATTATTACAGTATAACGTCTAAGGTGAAGCATAATTATGTCATCAACCTGTAAACAAGAACAGGCGGACCCAAATCACCAGTGTTCCCGAGTGAAATAGATGATCATTTGTATGGTGTATCGCTTTCAAAGATGCTGAAAACCGTAGCGGTTATCGTCTTAAATTTAATTGTCAGATCTGAAAGTTGTTGCTCTCTGTTCTTGAGTTGGACGATGCCAAAGCGTAGATACAGACATCAACTTGCCTACTCGCCTGGCGTCTAGTAAGGTAGTAATGGTTTTAACTACATGAACGTAGATTGTACCGTTTGTACCAAAGATAACCAATAAACAAATAGGTACAGCACTTGTTTTCTTAGAAAGTTAATTTTCCCTTGCCCGCCCTCCCTCCCTGCCTGCCTGCCTGATGATGATGATGATCATCATCATGTGTACACAAGTGTGGCAGTGACGAGTTAGTATAAGTCGAAAGTTACCTACCTGACTACCGTGAAGTGCGCCAGGGTGTAGCCCACCAATACATGGATGAGCCACACCGCCCGTATGGAACAGTAGGCTGTATAATATCACCTACAGTACAGGCTGTGTGTGTGTGTGTGTGTGTGTCATATGCCCAGTGCACCCCGTTGATTTCATTATCCATAATCAGTTTTTATTGCCTTTTAATTCTTTACACCTGCACCTATGTTGAAAATACATTTACAGTATGCGTAAGAATGTGTGAATAGCGATACTATTGTCTGAGCGTTTGTCTACCACTTTCCACATGTCTTGCGTCCCCTCCCAATTGTTCCCCTCCCTCCTCCTATGTGACTTTCTGTACACCCTTGATTTATCTTATACAAAGTGGTATAGGAGTAAAGACTTATAACTAGTCGGAAGGCTTGTGTGTTGTGGTGGAGGTTGAGTGTGGGGGGTTGGACCATGTGCCTCCTCCACTATCTGGGATGCTGTGGTTGTTAAGATTCGCTCTGTTGCCCTCACACACCTCCCGCCCTCTACCTTACTCTCTTCCCGTCAGTCACACCTGAGGATTGTACCTCATGCGGGTGAAATGGAGTACATTATACCTAACGATAGTATATAGTTTTATTAAATCCATGTTTAATGAAGCCTCGCCATCTTCATTCTACTGGGTGACTTAGATATGAGATTATTGGCTTTATTTACAAAATATTAACATTAATGATAGTGGTTGGTGAGTACGTCCATGGGATAAAAACTGAAAGATCTTATCTCCAACCCATTCTAGACAAGTACTCCTTTTACAGTACCCTGTACTACCAAGTTGTACTGTACCTCATAGATAAAACATTTTGAAAGGATGATGGTATGTCGTGCACACCCCAAGGCATCCTCAACGGGTCTTCAACACCATCATGTATAAGGTTATACCATTGTTTTATGATACTGTAGATGTAGAATGAATAACTGCAACACCAAAATGACGTCTTTGTATTTTCCTCGAAGGTAGACGAGTGTGTAGGTTGTGTAAAATAACTGAACTTTAATTAGGCTTCTTGTGTAAAGCAACACATTTTTGTTGTTTTACCTTACGAGTCATACTGTAATGTGCTTGTTACCTTGCAAATGATTAGTTATTTCTATGTTGTATGTTGACTAGCATCACTAGGCGACTTGGTAGATTATGGCATTGTGATGTACTGTAGAAACCTAATCTAGGATCTGTCTCTTGGAATTATTACTACCTGATCCTTGAGGAACAGATTGCATGCAAACTACATTCGTTAAGGATGGTATTTTTATGTAGTGATGTTGTAAATAACATTTTGACTAAACAAAATAAAACCTCAAAGTGTTTACTGAAAATGAAATGCTGATGGTTATGTAAGTGCAACCCAGTAGGTTATCCATGTTTAATAATGTTCCCTTTTTTCACCCACTTATGTATTTTGGGTCCATATTTAAAGAGCCATATGTACTGTACATCCATCTTGTCAGCAATTGATACAAACATGTCAACTGATCCTTATATTCTGGCAGCTATCAAGTTATCTCCTCTACATACATGTCTTCCTTACAGTTACTCGTTCATTAATCATCTTATCCATATACAGTACATCCATCGCACCAGTTGTTCATTTCCATACCCATACATTAGTAATTATATACTGTATATCCATTAATTTTATTTGTCATCCTACCTGTTTTATCTACATATTTATGCCCAATCAAGAAAACGTATAGTATAACAGTCTAACGATTTATTTATCAATCTCCCTGCAGTCCTACAGCTCTCAGCATCTACCCTTGCAAACTTTCTTCAGTACAGTATTGTATGTGCATCTTGGATAAGGTTGGAAACTCTCTCTCTCTCTCTCTCTCTCTCTCCTAACAAACCTTCATCTCTGCACCTTTCTTGCAAATGGCAACCTACCCGGCATACTATGTTAGTGAATCTCCCTTCTACTCATAGCACATGCATTTCTCTATGTGCTGTACTGTATTCACTTCTGTAATCATGAATTGTGAATTTGTTCTTAAATTCTGCCTGTAACTCCATATCTGCTCCATGAATGTCAACTGAATCTGTTTATTACCTGTAATTTCTTCTCTGGCCAATCATGTTTCTCTCTCTCTTGCTGTCTGTGTCATAGTTTGTAATAAATTACCAACTGCTTTGCAAAATACTTCCAGTAACTCCTTCTTCAATCATTAAATATCACCTTGAACTTCACCTCTCTATCAAAGATGGTTAAAAATACATCTATAATGGTCTTTTAAATTGTATCACTTAAGTCTGCATTGTGTTGCAGGTCGAAAGTGCCGGGACTGCATGACGCGGGTGCCGTATGCAACGCTCATCGCCACTGTGATGTGCTGTGTGGGCGTGGGTGTCTTCTGTGGCACCATGTACAGAGGCACCACGCTCACACTTCGACTCTTTGAGGATGTGTTCAAGCTGCACATCAAATGGTAAGTACACCGCTGGAAGGGTTTACTGCTGGGGGTGGGTGTGTGTGGCTGGGTTTTCCCTCGTCCAGTACCTTATTCCTGGTTTAAGTACAGTAGTGAGGATGTACTAATGCCTGTATATGTATTGTGAATGGTAAAGACTTATTTTTGCTGACAGGGGATTCCAAATAGTGGTTGTGTGAGTGATGAGGGTTACTGTGTGCTGCTTCTGGTGTGATTGGTGATACAAGTATCTTCATGCTCTTGCTGGTGTGATTGGTGAGGTGGAAGTTATCCAGTACATTAGTTAAGTAGTGATCTAATTACAGTACAGTATATATAATGTTTATGGTGGTATGATGCAACATAAATGTAGGTGTAAACGTTTGTGTAAGTACTGTATAATAATTGAATAATATGATAGGACAAGTTATGGTACTGGGTTAGTGATTAAATGGGTCTTAGTTTTATCATAGGTTTCAGTAGGCATGTGCAGCAGTCCTAATGGGAAGGTTTCATTAGAACCTATTAGGAATTAGGCCTATTTAACCTGCATTCAGTTATTTAATGGGCAAGATGAATGAAAGAATTGGGAGTTGTCTTTGGTTTTTAATAACAGGGTCTGGATTCATAATTTTTCATATAAATAGTGGACATAACTGAAGATTTAAGAATACAGTACACCGAACATATTGTCTTAAACTACAGCATAGATCAGGGGTGGGCAAAGTACGGCCCGCGGGCCACATTGGCCTGCCAAATTATCTCTGCATTTGTATTTACAAATACAAGGCTTTACTTTGTGTTAATATAATACATTTGCATCTACATTAAGTGTGTGGCCCGCGAAGTGTGCCACCATTCATGAAGTGGCCCTCCATCAAAAATAATTGCCCACCCCTGGCATAGATGTACTGTAACATGCTAAAATACAATCAAAATTGTTTACCGAGATGTACTGTAACAGGATTTGTTCATTTGACACTAGTTATGAGATAAAATTAAGGAACAGTATCATATCGTTTAGAGAAATATTGTGGGAAAGTACCTCAACTTTGTCTGGTGTTATGTGAATGTATCGGGTTAGGGTTAAAGTCTCATTATAACTTTGATCTTATTTTTGGGTGTTATTTTTACAAGTCTTCACGGGGTAAAAAACCCAACGGGAAATAAACAATTGATGCCTTATTGGCTATCCTTGGTCGAATTGCCTTACTGTTTACCTTTGTTTGTATACCTGCACTGTCTAGGTATAATGTTTATACAGTATACTTGCATGGTCTATGTACATTGTATACATGCATTGTCTATATACATGCTGAATTATACTGTATACATACTGTACCTGCATTATCTATATACATGCTGATTTTAGTGTAAACCTGAATGGCTATATCGTCTATCTTGTATGAACTATTATGAATCTGGTCCGAGGTTTATGACTGGAATAGTGAATATTTAAACAGAAAACATTTAGAAGTTGGTGTTATTAATACTGAAACACTGAGAGATAGTGATGATAGTGTGTATTTGTGTCTTATATAGTTATAGTATTAATTATAAGTACATACAGTATTCTCTAAATATATTAATAGTAGCATATATGAGCTTTAGAATAAGTTAAAAGAGTATTATTAAGTCTTTTATATTAATGTACTGTATTGTTGATTACTATTTGCACCCATATTATTGTCTCATTGCCAGTAAAGCCTTTTTTTAAGTGAAAAGCTTCATGTAAAGTAGTTATAGGTTGTTAATATTACAGTATATGATATTTCAAATAATAATCCTAAACTATAGAAACTTAGTCAAATAAAGATAAAATATGGGCTTTACTGTGAGCAGAAGTCTGCAGTGCCAGTGTAGGCCAGTTTGTTGTTTTGATTCTCATTCTTATACCTGTTGTATGTGGCGGGCGTGGCGTGGTGCAGGGATCGAGAATACAGGTAAACAGATATCCACATTAACCTTGCCTGCCCTAGCATTGCCTCCCCTCTACCTTACCTTGCTGGTCTGCCAACAAAGTACAGTATGAGGGGGTGCATATGGTCATATGAGGAAGGCAGATTTAGATCGGTTTCTGCTCTTCTGCCCCAATCTCTCTCATAAATGCTATCCATGTGCAGTTAGCATTTTTCCTCATATGAGTGCCACATGCCCTCCTACTGTTGTGCAATGTTTTCATGAAATATTGCAGTTGCTAGATCTTCATGAACCTATAGCAGACAGCTCACTCTGGTCAAAACATGTTTAATGACAGCCCCTGACACCATTCAGTGACTCATGACCACACTGTTGTCTCTGCATTGCTGAATCTCATATTCACAAGTGGATGTTTTTGCTGGTGTGCAAATTTCCACCTACTTTTGTGAGATCAACAGAATAAAGGAGAGATCAGTGTGTGGTTTGTGGCTAGTTAGTGGTTGGGCTTGTTTAGTGTGTTGACTTGAGTGGTTATGGTGAATTGAGTTCATAGGCTGACCAAGCACGAGATCGCCTCCAAACTGCAGTAGGACTCACAAGATAGCCTGAGGACCCATCTAGTTTGTGTGTCCTGCTTGGGACTGTGCCTGTACCTATAGCTCTCATATTAGCTGCAGATATGGCCACATGTGATGGATTCTCTGCTATCCCTGTGTGTTTTGCTGGGTAGTAGGAAGAATATGCCTGAAGACATGCATCATATGAACCCTTAGATATTTGCCTGACATCGCTTTCTGGGTAGGCGTGTTTTGAGAGGAAACGCCTTTTGTTCTGAACTTACAGACTTGTATGCCTTTGAGAAAGTTGCATGGAATTTTGATGAGTACTATACAGGTATTTAAGTACCAAGAAGAAATTTGGAGGTATCAACCAAGAATGTATTGGTACCCTCGCAGATTGGTACTATAGGGGGTGGACCTGGTTGCACTGGTGCAAGGTTCAGTGCACCAGCAGTGTCTTGCCACCCCAGTAGCCAACATGGCTGTGATGCAACCATAATGCATTAGAACTAACATCTTTACTCCTATCCTTTCCCCTCCAATTAAAAAAAAATCTTTACTTTGACTATATTCTATAGACTGTATACAGTACTCCTTAACTCACTCATATAACTACTCCTTACCTCACTCCTACACTCCTTGACTCATTCCTGTACTTGCCTCACTCATAGAATCTTTGTCTCACCCCTAGAAATCTTTTTTTATTCCTACAAACCTTTTTTTATTCCTACAAACCTTTTTTCACTCCTACAATCCTTGTCTCACTTCTACACTTCTTGTCTGGTTCCTTAACTCCTATGACACACGTGCTCACATATTTGTGCTCATACAATTCTTTAATATCTCTTATACACCTTTGTCCCTCACTATCACTCATTTTCAATTCACTGTCTACAAGCATTTTGTCATTTTTCCATCTTTCCTCACCGAATCCTCTGTTTCCCCCATCTTAATACCCATTCCCCCTTTTCCATTCTCCCCTCATTCAGAATACCCACTTTTCATTTATCTCATTACCATCTTCCTGGTATCCCTTCTCATGGTGTTGGTCAAATGTCCTCAACCTGATCTAACTATACAATATTAGGATTTGGGTTTAATGGGCTCCTAGTGTTTTAGGTCAGGTTTGGGTCTGTTAAGACTAAAGAGTCCATTTGATCAGCAACCTTCTGCTTGGTCTGCCCTGTAATATTTACATGTCCCAGAACACTTGAGGTTTCCTGGGGGATTTGTTTGACCCCCAAGCATCCGTCCGGTAAACTTACTAACTCCCGAGTATCTTGTGAAGCTAACCCTGCATGGTGACCATATGGAATGATGTTCCAAGGTTGGACCTCCACCTATTTACTAATTCTTATAGTTCATAAGAAATCATAAACTGTGTTGATTTGGTGGTACGAGATGGTTGACTACATATCTGTACTTCATTGTGTCTGTGTATGTATTGCTCTTGCTTCTGGCCACCCTGCTGTAAACAGGGAGAGGCTTGAAAGAGTAAAAATGATATTGCTGTTATAAGCAGTGGGTTGTTGGGGGCATATAAACATTACCCATGTCCTTACTTCTGTGCCTGTGTAGTGTTTCAGTTACAACTAATCCCTCATCCTTTAGAGTATATTTCCTGGAAACTTTGTTTGGCTGTTTATTGTCATACAATAAGTATATTGTTCAAAGGTGTTTGTCCACTGAGTTTTAGTGAAGTTATTTGTGGGGATGTCCAAGGTGTTCTTTAGAGAGTAATAACATAATGTATACTAACATGCATGTTACTTGATAGTTGAATACTGTACTGTAACAACCTTGAAGTAATGTGTGTATTTAACACAGATATTTGCCTCCATCAAGAACCTAGACTCAACAGTTTTAGGGTAGGTTTAGTTGGGTATTTTATTAAATCGTCCTGGTGTACCTGTAAATATAAAGTATGACATGAGAATCGAGACTTAGTTTGAAACTTTGCTAATCATTCGGAGATTGGATTTTTTAAAATTATGTGGAATTTAAAAGTAATATTTTACAGTATAGTACAAGATTCAATTTTACGAGCAATTTATACATCACTTAAATCGAACTGTGAGAATACTGTACTGTGTAAAGTGTTGATGAGTTTATTTCAGAATACGTACTCTGTACAAGAAGAACACTTCCCTTGAGCATTTTAAGAAAATTGAGAACAGAGACAAATTAACAGGAGCTGCCTTTAATAGTTCTTTCTGATATTCAATTTGCTAATTTACTATGATGATGTAATCTAGGCTACATTACCTTGAACTTACTGTGGGGTGTTCTTGCTGCAAGAGCATTCAGTCTGTCATGTTGTATTTTTAGTTCAAGAAAATGGTGAGAATAAATTAATTAGTCTGACCCAATTGAATGGCAGTGCCTAAATTCTTCTGATTGAAGCCTTATGATTAAGTAAGGGATATTAATGAGTGTAACAAAACTGGAATTATTACACTTCAAATTTTTATAAATATTTGGTAGTTCACTCATGAGAAGCAGTATAATCTATTATTTAAGCACGTCTCAGTTTTGTGGAGATGCATTGAAGGTGCAGTAACCTCAGAGATGGGGAATTGTGCAAAATTAGTATATAAAGTGATAGTAAAGAGCTAAGTTAATTAAGTGTGAGATAAAAGAAGGTACATTAATGATAAACTGAATCTATGGTTCACCTTGGAGTTCACTCGGGAGGGGCTGATTGGAGCTAATTTATGGCAGTTAGAGGGTTGCTTTAGGTCATTGAGGTTCATGAATGAAGCAGGATGTTCCAATTTGTATGGTCATTAGGATTTGATTTTTCCCTTCCCTGCTGGTATAGGTTTATATCCAGGCTGGTGTTGTGCATTATGGTACCTAAATGAAGTTGATATTTAGCTAAAAGGCTAAAATACTCCTAAAACATGTGGAAAAATATTTACCAGTAGGTTCCCCCCCCCCCCCCAGTAAAAGATGACTTCAGTGAAAAAGCATTTGGCGTCATCTATACCGGTATATGTTTGTGTATCTTCAGCTATAAATCTTGTGAGACGGACAGGCTCTGATAAAATATGTTAGTAAGGTTGTAGGTCTAATCTTAAGATAAAATTGCATAGGAAGGGTCACCTACATATCAACTCAAAAACATGTTTTAGTATAAAGTTTAAAGATGCATGGAAAAGTTCCTTTGTATCACAGGCTTAAACCACTGTATACACCTCTAAAGGGGATATTTATGGTAATGGGGCTGTATGGATGACAGCAGCACACATTAACAATAAGCCAATTGAGAGCATTAGAACCAAAGATTAGAGGTTCTGACTATTGTGTGGAGGTGTGGGCAGTCAGACTCCACAGTTCCCACGGGGGTATCAAATGAACCGCACCAATTATGTCATCATGGCCACTTACTGCCCACGGTGGAGGCACTACACCCAGCAACACCCTCCCAAGAAACACACTTTACAGACAACTTAAATGTTAACTCTTCTCACCTTATTAAAAACAATTATTGAATATCCTGTCTTGTGTAAATATCTGGAAGATACAGTAATCTGTCTTGGAGTAGTGTAGTTTGTCTGAGTATTAGCTTGGGTCTCCAAATGTGGTTATCTTCAAGAGGACTGGAAAAACACTGGGAAGACTTAGAATATCATAAATGAGTAGAGCTATAAATATATATTGTAATACCTCCCATCCACTTAGTAGTGACAAGTGTTGTACTGTACACTGTACAGGCATAAAGCTTTTATCTAGCACACACAGGAGTATGGTAATTAAGTAAGGGAATAAGTGAGTGTATCTTAAAAGTCTGGTGACCCATTAAGGGCAATGCGGTTGTGGCACATGAAGACTTTGATACACATAGAGGCAATGTGGCCAGCACTGCACCTGACTGCCTGTACTACCCCAACTGTAATGTTGGTATACATTGACAGCTGGGTGGACTGTAGGAGCCCTAGGTGCAAACTAGAGATCCTCAGGACAGGAGGCAGTTGTTGTATCCAGTCAGTCACCAAACCTTTTGACAGATGCTTGAACTGTGATTTTTTTAATCAAATTCACAAATATCATGATACCTATAACATGTATCTGACTTGAACTTCTTAATGTTTTGTTCCACTGGGAGCTCCATCATAGGGAATTTGTACAATAGAATAATTACAAGAATCATTGTAGGATAATGTAAATACAGTACTGTATAGTACAGTACAGGTATATATACTGTAAAACTTGCTAGCTACTACTATACATGTACAGTACTTGTAGACAGTTGAACCTTCCTAATCTGGATTTCCATGAATCAGAAACTCCTATGTTCTGAATTTTCATATTACTGTACAATTATTTTGCACCCCCGCCCCCCCTCATTTGCGGGCGAATGATGTTGCTATTATGTGAGTGCGCTAATAGCATAAGAAAATTAGATGTTCTGGAAGTTTTGCAAATTACAAAAAACTATACTGACTCGTATAGTGTAATACAGTAAGTACATAAAAGAAAATAAAGGAATGGATAACCTTTTTAAAGCCTACACAGTACTGTACTGTACTAAATTTAAAACAATACTGTACATATAGATATAACTCCCAAGGTTTTTTGATAGGACAAAACACTTTGTAGATTTCAGTTGAAAATCATTGTATTTTGAAATACTAATTTCTGAATTTATACATCTGTTGTATTATTGAGAAGGTAAAAACTTTTATTCTGTTGCATCAAGTGCTAAATGCTGGACAGTAGTTAATGCTCATAAGGAAGATAAACTGTTCTCAAGTATAGTTCTGTATACTGTACTGTATTGTGGTTCTCTTAAATACAGTAAGCTTTACCTTATATGTAAACTTACATGAACCAGAAAATTCTATGATTAGAATCTACTCGGGTCCCAAGGTTGCCAGATTAGTGAGGTTCAGTATGTACTGTACTATTAGTGTATCATGAATTAGTGATGGAAGATTTGAAACAATTACATTATTGGTAGGCTGAGCTTATCCCTCATTCATGTAGTGTATATACAAGTACCCTGTACTGCTTAAACTCCCTATGTACTGTATATGTGTGCCTAGAATGGATGCATCTACCGTATTATATATCTCATATAGTTTGGTTAACTTTTTGTTGACATATCTGTGTATAAACATTTTGATTCTTATTCCAAAATTTATGTGATTAAGATCATGATGGTGATGAGAATCTTACTTTGTTTTTTCAATATAAAATTCTCATATTATGGATCTAAGCTGAAATTTTGAGATGGAAATGTCTTGTAGGTTAAACATTAAATAGTATCAGATGTTTTGTAAAGTTTCCGATGCAGTTAGAAATGATTATGACTTTATCTTACAAGTGTTTAGAATAATTATGGTACAGTAAAGTATATAGAAATTGATTATCATGAATTCAATTATGCAGTAATGAACTAATCCTCCTCTGTATTTTAGGGTGGAACCTGTTCAGCTAACATTCATGGTGGTAGGGGCAGGCATGGGTGGCCTAGGACTCATGATCCTGTTTGTTGGCTGCCTCTCTACTGGGGACACCAGGAACAAGGTCTACAGGACATGGCGAGGACGAGTTGGTGGCAGGATCTCTTGTGCAATTGTGAGTACCAGCCGGTGGTATGTGGTGAGAAGTGTGTGATAAAGGATTTTTCTTGTACCAAATTGCATCTTACTGTAACTAATTTTTTTATAGTGCCAGTAATTGATATTATATTGTACAGTTTTCTTCGGTATTAATAAGTATAGCTTTAATATTATCAGATTATTGGTTAGGATTAGATAGAGAGATTGATATATATGTGTGTGTGTGTGTGTGTGCGCGTGCGTGCGTGCGTGCGTCATGTTTATATTTTTTAGGTCTTGCCATGTACTGTACATTTTAAATTCACTCTCCTGCCTCTTTTAAAGCTGAAGATGTAATGTTTTTTGTTTTTTTCCTCATACAACAGTTTATGGGCATCACATACCTGCTGTCACTGGCATGGTTGCTGATGTTTGCTGCATTAATCATTGTGACACTCTTCTACACTCTTGCGTGGTTCCAGTGTCTCTATATCCTTCCGAATGAGTGTATTGACTACAATCAGTTTAGTAAGTATTAACTGGGTTATTATTTTGCCTTTACATATACTGTACTGTATTATGTTTGGCACTTGTTTTTAAACTCCCGTTGTAGAGTATGGGAAGGGGGAAGTATAAAGGTACCTTTGTTTGTCCTTCCTTGCAAAATTCTCTTCTGTTCATTAATGTGAGAAAGGCATCACACATTGAAATGAAATTGGAGTGACAGCAGCACATGGAGTGGGCAAACTAACAAACTCACACTCAAACCTAAGTGCGAACTTTAAGTCAGAACCCATGCAGATTTTTTATTTGAGCTTTGACTCTACGGTCACAAGTAATAGTTGTGCGACACTCTCTCCCCACATACTGTAGTTCCATCTGCTAGTGTGAGGTGGAACCTTTCCTCCTCCATACTTATCAACCAATTTTAGGGGTAACTAGACCAGTGTAAATACAGTACCTCATTCATTAATACTTTTCCATTGTAGGTTTTGATGGTTTAGTCACTGAAACTATGTACCCTGCTGTAACTTGCTTGTTCATTGCTCTACTTAACAATGAATATAGAACTTCACAAAACTAAGAATAAATCACCCTGGCAACAACCAAGTGGGGATGTATTTACATTGTTCCATTAACCCCTAAAATTGGTTGATGGTTAAGGTGGAGAAGTTCCATCTCTCACTGGCAGATGGAACTACAATATGTAGGGGGGAGAGTGTTGCATAACTATTACTTGGTACTATACAGTATTTGCATTAATATTATTATTATTATTTTTTTTTTTACTTTATGCATAGATAAAGTACGTTCTATAATAATCATATTGATACATTAATATTTGTGAGACATTCCTGTCAAACACAACATATTTTCTTATTGCATTATTAATTTTACTTTACACATTTTTGCTTCGGGTGATCTGTTTTAGGAACATATCTATTGTGTTAACTGAGAAATACCTGCAGATCTATTTGACATATTTATCTTTTACAGGTTTTCTCTTCCCTGAGGGAACACCGGAAGAGGACAAGAGAGTGTGTACTGGTGAAAGGAAACTATTCTGCAAGGACTATGTCAATAATGCTGAAATAATGTTCATATTAGCATCAGTATCAGCATTCTTGGTTATTCTGTCTTTAGTGAGTTTTAAATTCATTATTACAAATATAACATGATTACCGAGTAGTTAAAAGTTAGCAACAAGACTAGTTTGGGTGATAATGATCAAACTTGTACAGTACAGGTAAACCTCGATTTACAATGGGGTTACATTTCTGAATACCCCATCGTAAATCAAGTTCATTTTAATATGGGGTTCAATGGGATACATTCCCAGCCAATCCGACACACTCGTATATCACCAAAAAAATAAATAAAATAAAATCCCACACTAACAAAATAAATAAGAAACATTTAAACAACACTCACCACATCATTATGAACAAGCCTGTTCATCATAACATGTCCCTTCAAGGCTAAGGGGGGACTTGTAGGTGGAGTGGAGACGTCACTCTGACTCTCACACAGCCTCTGGGGAGTTCAGTGAGGCTAGAGATAGAGTGGGAGTCGGAGTCCTAGGATGGGGCTGGAGGTGTAGGCTTTGGCCTAATGAAGGTGAAGCTCCTGAGTAGGACTGGAGAGGTATCAGATGAAGAGGACCCTGCATGGCTGCTGACTCCTGAATTTGAGGGTTATGGCTCTGACTCCTGAAGTTGAGGGTTATGGCTCTGACTGTGACAGAAGCTTGAAAAATGAGGCAATTGTTGTCTGGTGCACCTCCTTCTTCTCCAGGTACAGTTTCATGTAACAAAGCATGTCCTACTCCACAAGTGGCCTCACAAACAAATTCCTGCTGACAGTGCTCAACACCTTCAAAGTCAGCGTCATGGGTGCAGGGTTGTCCTCCTCACCTGCTGACTTTTCCACGGCCTTCTGCTGTTCCAGGAGCAACAGGTCCTCTTTGCTGAATTCAGAGTGGCTCTCCAAGACCTCAGCCACATTCCCCTCATAAATTTTCTGAAAGCCAGCTTCCTTGGAGATGCTGTTGGTGTTGTGGTGTACAGCTAAAACATTGATGAAGCCACCAAAGTTGTGCAGTCACTCAGGCCACACTCTCCTCCACATGCTGCTCATGCAGCTCTGTGTGACCACTTTCCACAACTTGCCGATGTTATATGTGGCGTGCCTGATGATGTAGTTGCACCAGAATTCTTTGATGGTTGGTTTTTTCTCTATCTGCCGCCTCAAACAGCTGTGTCAGGTAGTAGGCCTTGAAGGATATGATGATGCCTGATCCATTGGCTGGATGATTGAGATGGTGGTGGAGGGCAGGAACATTACATTGATGTTGTCTGTCTGCTCACCCATTGTAGGTGGGTATAAAGGCACAATGTCGAGGATCAGGAGAAACTTGTTGGTGATGTTCTGCTCGGCGGCGTCTTCCTTGAGGCGCTTAGAGAGGTAGCCAACCTCATAACTTTGGCATAACACTGTCGTGACCCAGGCGGTACACCAGCATTGGAGTCAACTTAAGGTCCCTCTCAGCATTGCCCACATTGCCCCCAAGCAGCAATGTAAGGCAGTCCTTGGTCACCTTAAAGTCTGGTGCAGTTTTCTTTTTTCCTCCTTGGCAGGGAAAGTCCTCGAGGGCATCTTCTCCCAAAACAGGCCCATCTCGTCGAAGCTCAGGACCTGCTTGGCAGTGTATCCTCCTTCCTCTACCTAGGCCTTCAAGAGTGCTGGGAAGGCATTAGCATTCACGACATCAGCACTGGTTGCCTCACCAATCAGACAAAGGTTGTATAGATTGACGTGCTTCTTGAACCGCTGAAACCACCCAGGACTTTCCTTGAAATGGGCCTCAACGGCACTGCTCACCGCTCTCTGCCTTCAGTGTTGTCCAGATGTTGCTGGCTTTTGCCATGAAGATCACTGTGGAGAGAGGCAAGCAGTGTAGAGTCTGGTCCTGAATCCAGTCTTGGAGTTGCCCCTCCATGACAGGCTCACGCTTCTTTAATAATCTAGAAGTGGAGACTGGGGTCACATTCTGCAACATGGTCTTCACTTCCGGTGCCTTCTTGACGATGGTAGACACTGTTGACTGAATCAGACCAAATTCTTTAGCAATATAGCACGCTCCTTCACCTCTCCTTTGCTGCTTCACAATATCAATCTTCACCTCCAGAGACGCTGTTTTCCTGGGCACCTTGGCCTTCCCAGACGCAGAAGTCTCAGCAACACACTTGGTAAACGGCCAAAGCACTTTACAGTCACAAAAGCATAGGAAAAATCATTTTATAGTCACCAAAACAGAGTACAGTACAATATAAATGTTAGTGATGTCCTTACTATAAGGGATAAAAAATTATAAGTAACAACAACAGCAATACTGACTGATAATTGTTTAGTTACATGATCACAGGCAGACGCAACCACCATGGAACAAAGTGCAGGACCAGTGAACCGGGTAGATGACGCTGTGGCTGACAAGTGCAGTGAGAGATACATTTCATATTCCATGCTGCAATGAGTTTGGTCTTACGATAGCCATCGTTAGTGTGATTTTTTTATTGTAAATAGGGAGGTGGTCTTAAAACATCACTGTTGTTAAAGCAAAATATCATATATCGAGACATCGTAAATTGAGGTTTATCTGTACTATACAGTATATATATTAGTTACTCATCCACTTTGGATTATCTTTACTCCTCTTAACCTTTCATACTTGGTAGATCAGGCATTACAGAAACTTGAAAGAAAGGGGAGATATCAAAGTGGTGCAATAAAAGTGTCAATTTCTTGAAAAACTTATTGGATATCTAAAACAATCTTTAATATCTTTTTTCCTTTTCATTTCAGGTACACTATTTGATGTGCCTGGCAGCAAATTATGCTCACATAAAGGATCAGGAGAAATTCATGGACCTTCAAGAAATTCAGTTTCTTCATGAGTCTGAAATGTCAACACTTCCCAAAGACCGCTTCTAGGATACTGCCCAAGGGATTTTTTGGCGCAACAACCAGCATAGTCGATATTTTCAGACAGTTGCCTGATTTTAGAATGCAAATTTTGAATCTATGAGGGTTCAGTCATGAATAAAATTTTGTAGTATTCAGTTATTTAGATGGAAATCTATAGTTCCATTATTATCACCGAACCTTGTTTTTGTTTGTTGAATTCTTAATAGAAATAAGAATTTAGGTGTATTATTCAAGAACACTCTAGAGACATAAATTTGCATTCTCAGCAGGCTGAAGAGTTTGATGGCCTCATTAAGAAAGCAGAAAATAATTATAAGTTTTGAGTGCTCAAGAATGAACCTTTTGCACGTCAAATGCATTGGTTGGTCAGATATTGAGTGCCTGTATACTTCATAAGCCTTTTCATTAATGAGGTTGAGTGTCTTCAACCACGAGGCATCCTGGAAACTGTAACTGGCCTCCTTACTGTAATAATGAAGACTGGGGACCACTCAAAATATAGAGACCATGTTAATATTTTTACTGCTCAATATCCATCTAGTTACTGGGAAGTGCCATTGTTTTCCTGGCCTCTGGTTGAAGACAGATGGGTTAGGGACAGAAAGGTAGTTTGCTTTTATTGTGCTTTTTGTTGTGTAGACTAACTTTCCACTGCAGTATGTTCGAAGATACCATTGTGATCTAGGTCTCAGACATGTGCTATATTTAACAAGAATGTGAACTACTGCAGTGAAGAGTGTTTTGTGCTGGGCATGGCAACTGTCAAGTATAATTTAGTGGTTTCTTTGTAGACATTACTTTGTAGACATTAGTTTCCTTGGCTTTTTTTTTTAAATACTCAAACCAGTTATAAGTTAACATATTTTGTTATGTTTTGTATAATAATTTCTAATAATATACTAAAATCAAATGACTAAGAACACAACACATATACAGTACTTCTTTAAATATGTTAGCACTGAACAGCTTCATCATTTTATGTATGGTAAGTCTGTCACTCCTTAGTTTTTTTTAACAAATCTAATACTGTAGTACTAACTTATTTCTTCGTTCGCACTAACTTGTGTAGATTATTTTTCTCAACAACAAAGCTTTGATAGCAGCCTACGCTTTCACTTAACTAACTACTACTAACCTTAAACTAACTATTTTTGCGGATTGATCTCCCTGACCTTTCAAAGCCTCATGTGTTTGCTTCAAAGGATCCCTTGGGTAAATTTTACACGTGGATTACTCTACATCTCTGGGTTTACTGTAGTCCACTGGAAAAATTTACAAGTACCTGTAATCATTAAACTAAGGACTGACAATCTCCATTGAATATTATGTAACATTGTTAAACTTGTGATTAACCATTATACTGTAATGATTACATTTTACATTGTTCACCACATATGTGTTTTGTACCTTTCTGAGAAGAGTTAAGTATAAATGAAGTTGAGGTGACTGAGGTACAATTCCTCAGGGTGTAGAGTATTAATATAGTTGATTATAACCTCCTGTGTAGTGTGCTATTAGTAGGTTCTCCTGTATCCCTCCCTAGCCTTAGCTACCAACAGCTCAACTGGTCACTTTGAAGCTGTTATTAACAAGAAGCAACATATCATCTTTTCTGTTATAACAAGTAGTAACGCATACTTGAAATGTATTATTCAGTGAGTGTGGAAAACATTGCTATATATATATACACCTAATCACCCTTGGCAAAAATGAAACTTATTTCTCCTCAAGCCCATAATGCAGGTCAGTTGGTCATGTTAAGGGCAATTATTAACTCTACCTCTTCCAGCCAGTACAGTACTTTGTATCTTTGCCTCTATTTTCAATTAACAATTGTATTCCACTCTTGCTGAATTCTAATAAACTTGCCTAGGATAATAAACCTCTTTAAGATCTGTGTGGAAGGAGTAATATCTTTGGTTAACATATCTGCGTCAGCATAGTTAGTTTGATGCTGTTGTGTGCGTGACGTGTGAAAGTTCCTATGTGGAAAATTGTTGTAGCTTGAAATAATATATATATATAAATTTTGCTTAATGCAGAGACAAAGACTTTATGCTAATTATATGTTCTATGAAATCCATGATACTGAGCATACTTTTTCTTATGTTTATATGATAATGATCTGACTGATTCAACAGTTAGTGTGTCCTTATTTAGTGCATGTCTTTCAACACTAAAGATATTTAATTCTTTGGTCATTGTGCAACAATTGCACCTCTGCAGTCACAGTAAGCTGATCCTTTTGTGTGTATATTTTGTATGAAGAATATGCTATCAGAACATATTCTCTTGTAAAAAACAATAAAATTTTATACATTAATGTTATACTGTCTGTAACCACAAATGTGTTACAAACAGACTCAAGTGTTTAAGCAGAGGAGGTATGTATTGGTAAATAATTTATACAGTAAACCCTTGATATCAATGGACTACAAGTGGTCAGTAATCGTGTTTCAACACCAGATTTAAATTTATAAACAAAATCTTCTATAACAACAATTTTGACCCCAAATCCCGATTCAGCATTTCAAGGAGTACCTACAGTAAAAACTCCATACAGTGGGGTATGTCATAACGAACGGTTTATATAACGAATATTTACGCAACGAATGGTTTCCCTATAAAATTGAAAATGCTAAAACGTACGAAAATTCTACAGTGAACGCAACGAACAATATTTTTTATTATTTTTTGTACCAATTTATTATTTTTTATTACAAGTATTAATGATATTCTTTATTTCAGGAGTTTAAATGCACATTTATGCACTTTTTACAATTTTATATTATATTTTTCAATGTTAAGTGGTTGTATTTGGGGGCCTGCAACGGATTACCCCTATAACAAACGAATGCTATAACGAACGAGGTTCTAGAACCAATTAGATTCGTTATAGCATACCCCCACTGTAATTCAAAACGATAGGGGTTCTAGTACTTACAAATTATGAGATTTTACGAATTATGGAGGGACACCTTCCATTGTCTGCCCCAATCAAAATTTAAAAATTTCTAAGTATAGTTCCAGATTTAGGGTTTTCAGATATAATGACACACACTGGACAGTGGACAATGGTGGAAAAACAAGTGGAAAAAACTTGTGTGGTAGACCGTAGATGTACATTCCATGACTGACCCACGTGAACACACTGATAGATCCAACACGTGTACAGTATACAG